ATGGGCATTCCCTTTCAGCTGAGCAAAGTCAGTATCTTCTCCGCCTGACAAGTCTGTTTTAGGAGAGAATATAGATACTATACACTAATTTAAGGTTGTTTAAATTACCTTCCAAAGTGTTTATAACATGACAATAGTTTCTTTTAAATAATCTTTAAGCAGCTAAAAGAGTCAACGACTCTTTAGAATATTACTACCATATTGCTGAAGAATCTTTCAATAAAAATGACCATTAACTCTCGTAACAGAGCCAGTATTGTTCTATAAGGGGAATTAAAAGCCTAATATATTAGCAAACACACACACGCGTATTTTTAAACTACTGTTTAATCAGTTGTAAAGACACACAAATTAGAAAAAAAAAAAACACTTATATGTAAGTTAAAAACACCTTTAAAACCCAGCAATAAGCCACCAGTACAGCTCTGACAGACTAGAAATGAGTGGTTATGAAATTAGCATATCAGTTTGACTGACACAGCGGGAGTTTTAATTTCCCATACATCAGGAACTAATTTATGAATCTGTTGAAAAATAACACTTCTTTAAAAAAATATTTCGGAATAATAAAAACAGAAAGTACAGAACACCACATTCTATTCTCAATTCGGGAAGGCAAATGTAAATACTAAATTCTGGCTGCTGGAGTTGGGTCTCTCCTCATGTTTGGGTGACTGAGGGCTTAACTACTACTAGGCAGAGATCAAGACACAACGTTTAAAGGAAGGCAGGAATGAAATCACACATTTTCACTCTGTATGTGGTAGAATTTCTCACTTCCCCTGAATGATTTTTACTTTAATTCCTATTGCCTTCTATCATGCCCCTTCTGGTTCAGAGGAGCAGTCACATAAAAGTGACAAGATGGACAAGACTGGTTTGGAACACATTTGTGTTCAATGTTTGATTCCTTTTTCCTTGTGATAAAGTCAGAGGCAAATGTACTTCACTGATAAATCTGTGCACGCAGAACCAAAAATACTTAAAATTGGGAAAGAGGCATATTTTAAAAGTCTGTCAAACTCTGAACATATATTTTTGTCCTATAATGCAAAAGGACAGGGAGGAATATTCAAATTGATTTCCCAAGAAAATTAACCTAAAATAGTGAACATGAAACAGCTAAGACTCTAGTGAAAGGCAGTCAGTCACCTTTTCCATTTCAAACATGTTACTAAGAAACTGGTTAGTCATTTTACTTATGTTGCTCTGTAACTTTTGGTTTTTCATTGTAGTACTTCCCTTTCTTTTTAGTGTGCAATTGGATACAGCATGGCTGGAGAGATGGCTATGCATCACTGAGGAAGCTTCAGACAGTGGTTCCGCATGGGTCATTACACTGTAATGTATAGAACATATAGCCTTAGTGTTGTGTTTTTTCTTTATAAAAGTTGTACTTAAAGAGTTATAATCAGTTTTAAAGGCAAGACAAATTAGTTGGTGTAAAAACTGTGTATTTAGGCTGTGTTTCACAAAATGTCCCAGTCAATGGCCTGTGCAGCGTGTCAGTTCTTTATTGGGGTTTGCATAATGTTAAAAAACCTATTAAAATAAATATTATTTTAAAACGTACAAAAACATTATTCAGCAGCCTACCAATTAAAATGTAATTGGCTGCAACCTCTGTACAAGAAAAGCTTCAAAAAGCAGCTTAAGCATTGATTATAAGCGCTTTCCTACAAAATACTTATGTGGAAAATTTCGTTTTAAAATTTCTGTTGTAATCAGAGTCTCTATAAATAGATTTGACATCCTAGTGTGGCAGAAAAACACTGTAGAGACCCTCTATGTTCTAATCTTTCACACTCAAATTTCAGGATGTACTTCTTTTCTTAAACACAAATCTTTTCCTTCAGCATTGGGAGCACGCATTGATCAAGAAACCCACTTTTACAAGGGCTGCAGAACAGAAATTTCAGCATCTAAGATGAGTGTATCAACAACCAGCCACTCATTAAATGCACACTGGGTTAAGTGCAGCAGTTTTATAAGGTGTTGAGGGCAGTTAAGATTACATCTCACAGTGTTATTTAGGATTCTGCACCTATATTAAATCTGATGTATTAAATTTCAGCCAGGAAGAACTATTAATGCCTGGATAAAACTCCACAAAACATTGGCTTATATCTAAAACTCTGGACAAATTTTTAGCTGACACAGAAATAGTAGGCACTATTCTGAAACAATCAGTTGCTCAAGTAGTTTTTCTTTCAATTATAATGTAGAACTGTTAAAACCAATTAAGTAATAATTGTGAACAGTTGATAAGGAAACAAAAAAAGTATAAATGTCCAGATTTGTTCATGAATATATAAACTAAATATTTACAAGACATTAATTTTAAATAGGAAAGATTTTTGTCCTAAAACTGTGATCTAGTCCTCGAGTAAAAGTATACATTTATAATTATTTTAATGTCAAAAAATTTTAAAGCTATTGTTTTCTGGAGTTTAAAATAAGGTGTAACTAAAGTAAATATGCTTTAAATATCCTTGAATAACTTTGAGATGTTGTACAGTGGTAAACGCTGTCCAGTAGTCAGTAAACTGTATAAAATATTCCAGAGCATGTGTCTTCTCCAATGTTACATAGCACACACAGAAACCAACAAAGCAGAGAAAGCAAAAGGAAAACATGTTTTCTTCAGCAGAGACATTTCATTATGAAACACTCATTGTAAGAGCTATTGCCAGTAGAAAAAGTATTTGCCACGCCTTCTGATTTAAGGGATTCAGAGGTTTCACTGTTATCATGACAACCTTTTGAAATGTCAGGGCTTTGAGCTCAAGGAGTACAAGTCAGTAACCATGACAATAGTGTGGACTGTGAATTTGCCCAACTCCTTGAATCCTACAGACCTTGCTAATGGCTCCATTCATGACACCCAACTGGTCCTGAACTCTTAGGATGAACCCATTTGCTTATGGCTGAGGAACTTGGGGTTTACAGGACAGGTGGCTCCTCCAAGTCTTAAGTCTCATGAAAGGCAGAACCAGAATGAAGATCCAGGCCCCCTCCCAGGTCAGGTAGTGCTTAAATGTGAGTTACCGTCACTTTCTAGAAACCTCCTTTCTACTGCACATTTTTCTTAAAAGTGGTATGTTTGGAAATCCTGTGTGTGTCACACATGGTGGAGACCAATAAATTTATTTTTGAATCAAATGGGCAGTAGTGGCTCATAAAAGAAGGGGTCACCAGACATTTTTGAAGCCAAATCTTCTCTATCCTGCTGGATATTTCAGAAGCTAAATAAATTCCCCCAGTTACCCTGAGTTCCAATAAAAATACTTATTTTAAAAACAGAACAAGCCACTTATAAAATGGTGACAGCTGAGGCATACCAAATTAAACGAACTCTGTTTCAAGAAAATGAAATTGAAGGATGAATAATTATTTTTGTTCATTTTTTCCCTGAGTAGTATATAATTAACCAAAAGTATAAATACGATGTTGATTGATCATCTCTGGAGTGATTTCATGATACCTGAATAGTGGAAAATATATAACATAAATATGCATTGAATCTTATTCTATTGATTTAAAAAAAAGCAAGCACATAATACAATGAATCCTGTTTCTATTTAACAGGAGTAGATGTACTAGTTTAAAATTCTTCTACTGTAAGTACTAGAAGCAAAATATTAATCTTTGTTATTATTACTTCTCCAAACTAGAGGAGAGCTATCCAAAAACCATTTCATAAAAATAACTAGTTGATTCAGGGGTATGAAAATCAGTCAAACTGGACATGGAATTATTATCTTCAAAGGAACTGGAAAACAAATCAAATATCTTGCTTTCTAGATGACGGTGCTAAGATTATATTCACTGAGCAAGAAATAGGTAACAGTGACTAAGGTTTACAGGCTGAGAAATAAAGTAAATTCAGGTAACAGAAATGTGATTATTTGTAAGTGGCTAGATAGGCTGAACCAAAAAAACAAAAACAAAAACAAAAAAAAAAACCACACACACAAAAACAAAAACAAAACCCAACAAGTTTGTATTAAGCCTTCTTGTTTTCACTTATGACATGCCTGAACCTGTCTTTTATATTCTGAATTTGTTCACTTTCTTTTTTTTTTTTTTTTTTTTTGAGACGGAGTCTCGCTCTGTCGCCCGGGATGGAGTGCAGTGGCCGGATCTCAGCTCACTGCAAGCTCCGCCTCCCGGGTTCACGCCATTCTCCTGCCTCAGCCTCCCGAGTAGCTGGGACTACAGGCGCCCGCCACCTCGCCCGGCTAGTTTTTTGTATTTTTTAGTAGAGACGGGGTTTCACCGTGTTCGCCAGGATGGTCTCGATCTCCTGACCTCGTGATCCGCCCGTCTCGGCCTCCCAAAGTGCTGGGATTACAGGCTTGAGCCACCGCGCCCGGCCTCACTTTCTCTTAATAGCAGTTGGATTCTCTGCAACATTAATGAAAATGATCAAACATTTTACAGGGCAGGTACTTTCCGTGAACATTCCTTCTATTCTCTCACATTAAACAGCTAGCATAATTTTTTTCTTTTTTTCTTTTTTTTTTTGTGTGTGTGTGTGTGAGACGGAGTCTCCCTCTGTCGCCCAGGCTGGAGTGCAGTGGAGCAATTTCAACCCACTGCAACCTCCACCTCCCAGGTTCAAGCAATTCTCCTGCCTCAGCCTCCCAAGTAGCTGGGATTACAGGTGCGCACCACCACGCTCGTCTAATTTTTGTATTTTTAGTAGAGATGGGGTTTCACCATGTTAGTCAGGCTGGTCTCGAACTCCTGACCTCAAGTGATCCACCTGCCTTGGCCTCCCAAACTGCTGGGATTACAGGTGTGAGCCACCGCGCCCAGCCAACATGATTTCAGTGCATGGGAAAACAGAGGAAATTTATGTAGTTATCGATCCTTTCCTGAGAAGGAATGGTAGGGTTAGCCTTATCAGCTGGAAAACACTTACTTTTAGAGAAATAAAAATAGATCAGGATATTTCTAAACTTCAAAAAAGACACATTCCCATTTTTGCTGAGACCTCAAAAGCTGCAAGTGCATTTACTTTTCCTTTCTTCTTTAAATGAAGTATTATATAGCATAAGCCAGATGGTTGCCTTGTCCTTAACTTCATTTGCAAATTTATTAGTGACCCCACCCCCGAAAAAACAGAGAGAGAAACTCATCACAGAAAATTTGCATTTCAATTAAAAATGTAAGGCAAAAAGTAAAAGTAAGCTCCATACATAGATCAAATAAAGGTGAGGTCAGAAGGCTTTGCCCCCTCCCCTCCCACAGGGCACGAGGAACCATCTGGGGCTGAGGCCACTGCACTGCCTGGCGTCAAATCCCGCCTCCTGCTTTCAGCTCCTGTGGCCACCACAGTCCTCTGTGGGATTGCAGGAGACACCTAGTAATCCAAGGCAAGATTAATCATGGTAAAAATGGCCCATAAAATAAAAGCACATTTTTCCACTTACAGAACCTAAAACTCATTTTAGTAAGAGATCACAGCAAAATTGTAATAAGAGTCTGAAAATGAATTTGTATTATTCTCAAAAAATGTCACCCAGACTCAAAGACTTTTAGTTTTCACTTCCCTAAAAGTTTCCCAAATATGAATTAAATTGTCAAGGATAAGAAATTGATTAGCCAGATAGTAACCTACCTGGCGGTTTCTCTTTCAAAACCTTTGAGCAACCTACCAATATTATTTTCAAAGCCTCTTTCTAATTCTACATAATTTATGCCTGATAAATTCAGTTTAGAAGTCCAAAGGATCACAAAGTCATTCCACTTTTTGTTTTAAGTCTCACATGATGGTGCGGAGCCCTGGCGTGGGGGAGAAGCGGCCTTGCAGAGCTGTGGCTCCACCCTGTGCATTCCACTGGAGGCCAGGCAGTGCTGCTTCATTCCTGCCTTCCTTAGTCACCTCTCTCTTTTAAGAAAAAGAATAAGCTTAAAATATCACATTACCAAACCTTTCATTATGTTTTAAGAAATTCCTTCTGGAAGTGCTCTTTGACTGCACAAGGTAATTAAACTCTCCAGCAAAATCAGCTACCTATAATTTGGTGTCCATTAAATGTTTACAGTTTCACTATGGATTGTAGTCATTTGACATACTTTAAGAAAACCCTTCAAATACTGAGATGTTTATTGCATTTTAAAAAATCCACATTCTTAAATATCCTGTTTCAAATTCCTCCTAAAATCCTTTACAGCACACAACATCAACTACTGCAATAGCGTTCTCACAATATTACACTTGGAAAATACCATTTAGGAACAATACTTTAGGAAATAAGAGGGTTTAAGGCAAGACATTCATTTGGAAAAGTTAATTTCTATCATCCAGATTGACACGATTATTTTTCCACCTCTTCAGTGCCTTGGGATACACAACGTACATTCAGCAACAGGGCACGCGTGTGACCCTAGGACAAGTGCTGAGGCTGGGAGTACCCACTGAAATATGGAAATATTCTTACATAAGGCGTGGCCCACGGGGATATGGCATGGGAGGGCTTGTTGCACTCCATTTCCGATCTGGTGTACAGGAAATTCCTTATCTATAACTGTCCATTTCCCCCCAGTCAATCGCTTTTCCAACAAACTCAAACCCCTTGAAAAGGTGCTAAGATTGGTTTCTGTTAACATAAAAAAAAAACAGCCCTCGGAGCCTTGCCGATCACTGCTTTAGTGATGAATGTCTCGAGGCTATTTCTTGATTCTGATTGCAAACATTGTTTGTTGTAGAAAAACTGTTCTGTCCCAAAGAATTTTCTCCTTCATCAAACTTTTTGGATTGTGAGAGCTGAATGTTTTCATGTGTATTCTTTCTTCTTTGAGTTTTTTTCACCGGCAACAACAATAATACTAAGATACCAAGAATGTGCAGGCAGTAATACCAGGAGCTAAAAGAAAAAGGGAAAAAGCTTATTCAAATGTGATAATAATCCGTAATAACTGCCCGCTTGTCAAAATGTCCCGTGGCCCACCTTAGGATGTATTTGTTTACTACATTATTCTTTGATTCTTCCCCCTCCAGAGGAGAAACCTGATAGTGTAGGCCAGTGGGTATTTATAGCACTGGGTAAACCCAGGCTGATGAGAAGCCTGATTTTCTAGAGAGCATATTACATTCCTCTGTAAGGGTCATAAGGCCACGGTTAAACAGAATAAAAACAAAAAGGTACATATTAATACCGGTAGCCATCTGAAAATCTCCCCAATTCACAGAATCAAAAGTTGAGTCAACAAAGAAAATGTGGAGATAGTTAACACTTTTATCAGTCTGGCCTCACTTGCTATTTACTGTCTCTGAGTTACAAATATTCTAATGAGGGGAGTGACAGAGAAGCAATATTGCTTCTTGATGGTTACTTCCATGAAGCAAAGAAAGGCGACATTATTAAAAATATTGAAAACATCATTTCTCAAATTATATAAATTGAATGTAACCTAAACTGTATCTATAGCTATAAGTCCAAGTAATTCTGAACAAAGTACCTGGGATAGAAAATCTAACCAACAGCCCAATCACATTTTTAAACATATACTAACATTGTTAAAATGGAAACTTTAGCAGGACTTACTTAATGTCTTCCTCTATAATTATTGTCATATTTGAGTCAATAATTTTTTGACTATATACTCTGTGCTAAGTCATTCTAAATGCTAGAGTAATAAAGAATTTATAAAAGAATAAAGTTTTTGATCTCTAAAATATCACCATCTAATATGGGGGAGTGGAATTTGGTGGGCAGGGAGAGGAGATAAGTAGATTATAAAAATACAGAATTCGAGACAAGACAATTTCTATAACATACAGATCACCACAGTATCAATCAAACATAAAAGATACAGTGAAAAGGAACAAATAAAATATAATTTATTTTCCTTAGGCTGGGTGTGGTGGCTCATGCCTGTAATGCCAGCACTTTGGGAGGCCAAGGCGGGTGGATCACGAGGTCAAGAGCTCAAGACCAGCCTGGCCAAGATGGTGAAATCCCATCTCTACTAAATAAAAACCACAAAAATTAGTCTGGAGTAGTGGCGGGAGCCTGTAATCCCATCTACTTGGGAGGCTGAGGCAGAGAATTGCTTGAACCTGGGAGGCGGAGGTTGCAGTGACCGAGACTGTACCACTGCACTACAGCCTGGGCGACAGAGCGAGATTCCGTCCCCCCCCCAAAAAAAAAAAAGAAAGAATTAATAATTCTTTGGAAATAGCTAGTTTTTTCCCTAAAGAGGTTCAGGACAGTTAAGCTAAGAAGCTTTCTGTTAAATTTAGGAGAGGTTTGAGGCAGTGGTTACCTGGCTGAATCAGTCATCTGAGGGTTGAGTAGTATGAGTCATTCCACAGAGAAATGCTGAGACTGCTTGGTTCAGAATTAAAAAGTAACTGATAATGCATTTATCAGCAGGAAATGTGGCTGTGGTACTATTTTTCCATTCTATCCAATAGCAAGAACCTTTCTTTTGAAAATGAAGTTATTCCCACTGACAAAATTTTAAGAGTAACACTTACCTATAAAACATGAATGACGGTTTTATAGAAAGAAGTACGAATGGCACAACTGTGTAACTTATTGCTACTTGAGTTACTATCCATGTTATAACATCATAAAATAATTTCAGTAGGGAAGGTTCAATGAAATAATGTCTAAAGTTATTTCTCATCTGAAATAAAGAAACAAAAATATTTGCTGTATCTTTAAATTAACATTACTTATGCAATTACACTGGTGATAGCAACTGTTGGAAGGATGTGGAGTGGAGTAACTGAAACTCTCCTATGTTGCTAGTGGGAATGTACACTGCTACTATGAAAAAAGTTGGTTCTAAAAAGGCTAATACACATTGTACACACTGTGTATAAAAGAGAGGAAGTCACAGGGAAAACATAAATGACTGGTGAGTCTGGGTAAAGGGCATATAGAAGTTCTTTGCAACTTTTCTGTAGATTAGATTCTGTAAAAGTTTCAAAAAAAAAAGTTTAAGACAACACTGCCTAGAGATCCTTAAATCATATTTGGTAAAATATCATATATAAATAAAGTTTGGTTTACCTTCATCCTTAACTCTTATTTAACCTCTGCATTTGTGAAAGACAAACTTGGCTTTGCTAATGTGCAAGTGCATGGTGTATTTGGGGAATGACAAGTCAATCTAATGGAAGCAGAGAATTCATGTATGTATAGACACTGGGTAATTCTAGAGAGGCAAATGGGGGAAGGGAGGAGGGCATTGGTAGAACTTGAACACCAAATGGGGAAGAAGCCTATCCTATTCTGTCTGCAATGGGAGGGAGTCAGGTACAGTTTTTAAGCGCAAGAATGGAATGCTGAAAGCCCGTACCTCAGGACAAATGGATTTGTCATTGGTGAACAGGATGGAATCAAAAGCAGGTGACTGCCATGGCGGTGAGCTAGGCAAGAGATAGCAGAGCCTAGCCACTAAGAATTATGGGTTTTGCTAATGTCCTTCCCATGCTTAGAATGTCATTTTCTTCCCCATTGTACTTCACTCACTATTGAAATAACTTTCATCTCTCAAAGTCCAGATCCAAACACCTTCCTAATGGGGCCATCTCTAATTAACCCAACCCAAAGAGACTTCTTCCATCTCTAAACACCTATGCGACTTAGTATTTATAACACCCATGGAATCTGTCACACATGCCTTGTGATGCACGTGTGTGCACACACACGCAAGCATAAGGTATGTACACACACATACACCTTATCCCAAATTAGACTACAAACTACCGGAAGGTACCCTTAGTCAATACTTCTTGAAATTTCCCTCATATATCCCCAAAGTACCTCAAAATGGAATATAGTAAATATCTGCTAGTTTGTTAAATGAAACCCTCTTACCTGTAAGTGCCATTAGCAGCTTGTTTAAACGTGGTTTTCGTCACGTCACTGTCCTCTAACTGCTTTTCAAGGGCTTACACTAAATTATCCTCCTCTTCACCTCTCTCACGTCACCAACCTAATTTCTCAATTGTTTCCCAAAATATTACTCTAGGTTCTATCTAGGCAAATACTTTAGAGAACTGTGCCCACTTCCAGTGTGGCTCATCCACTGTCTTGGCCTCGCACAGTCTACTCTTCGTCTCAGAGAGGATTCAAAGGTTACAGCTTTCAGGAAACATTTCTAAAATAAACCTACCCATTCTGATCATCTTTATTTAACTCAGTTTTTATCTCTCCTTCAGAAAATTCTGTAAAGACAAAGTAACATTTTGTGAGTGCCTCCTACCTGCCAGGCACATAGAAACATGTTTTCTCCTCACAGGAACTGGGCGTGGAGCCTAGCCCATGGTGAGTGCTCAGCAAACACGCACACAGTTACACACTTTGCTTCTAGTGGAAAGGACAATACTGACTATGGCCAAGGAAAGAGGGTCTACCTTGTAAGAGAGATGTACTCAGCCTTTTTAACAGTTCAAGTGGACCATTGAATTGTAAAATAAAATTCTTGATACTTACAGCTCGTGCTGCTAATGTCATTAACACCCCTGTTAGAAACGTTAGATAATATCCTGGGTATACCCCGTGCCAAATGGCAGAGAGAATGAACGTCTGGATAGTTGGACTGAAGGAGGTTCGTTCATAACACACCCTAGAAACCATGAAAAACATGGAGAGCCAAGCGGAGTGAGTGACCCGAGTTTACAAAGCCTGCAACGATCATTCTTTTATTACCTGACAGGATTTAGGGTAACTAGAAAAACAAATACAACTTATCTTAGGCAATCACTTCTCTATGATCTCAGGAAGGCTATAGCTATTAAGTGTCAAACTTAGGAACATAAAGTTAATTCCTATCTTCTTACTGGTATTATATAGTAACTTAAATGATCATTTCTAGTATTTGGGAGTCTATACAATTCACAAAAAGGATAAGGTTACTTTTATCCTACATTATTTTATTTAAAAAAAAATCAATAACTTTCAAATGACCTAATAACACTACTCTTTCTGGCAGATAGACTGTGCTTAGTCTACAGTTTTCCTATAACAGAGATAGAGAACGCAGTGAAAATAAAGTTTCCCTAAGGTATCAAATTTAAATTATAACAATAACAAAATATAACACAACAGATTAGCTCAGAGGATCTGCAGCCACTGGGGAGATTCTGCCAGGCACTGTGAAGAGATGCTAGCGTATGCTCGCCATCTCAAGGGACAAAGATGTTTCATTTGTCATTTTAAAAAGGACACTATAAAAGAAGGCTGCCTAGCGCCCTATCATTATAGGGGCCGTTTTTAATGAAGTAAGTTCAAGATAGGGCAATGTGCTCACAGGGACGGTAAGAGAACCCCTGGGCGAGTGCGCTGTTCCCCAGCTCTGTCCTTCGCACCTGTTACCCCACCCAGCCTGTCTTGCCTCTACCTTGCCCTGTTGAGGAGACACACTCCTGACACAAACCTCTGCTCAAGCATCCACACTTCCAGGAATTTCTTCCTGCATCCCTCTGTGCCCTCACTGTTCCTGCTTTCCCTCTCCTAACCCTCACAACAGGGAACAGCACGTGTCTGATTACACCGCCATGTCTTTGACAAAACTGCAAACTCTTTCACTTTCAGGAGCTGAGTCTTTTTATCTTACTCGTCTTTTTATCCCTTGCCTAACAAATAAAGATTTGTTGAATTGAAATATTTAAAACCGGGACTGTTCTGGAGTACCCAGGCATAAGTATTGTGCTTGTGCAGGCACTTGTTAATTTAAACCACATCTCTACTGAACGGGATCAGGAGCTGCAAAGGAGGATACTGGTGACCTCTGACATTGGCAGAGGCCTTTAAAGGAGGCTGAGAAGGCAGGATAGCTGCACCTGCAGGATAGCTACATTCGTGACTCAAGCCAAAATAGTTCTCATTCGTTACTGACTTGCTTAGGAGGAGGCTAACGGTGTTTCCTGGCTGACAGTGAGGTTACAATGTCACTCAACACTGTTAATTTAATCAAGAACCTGAATTCAATGAAGCTCAACCTCAAGAACTAGACGCCAAAGCACAACTAAAGATTGTTTTTGAAGGAACGCACCTTTTGAGCCAAAGAGCTGTCTGAATATTCCAATTATCAAGAAACATCTTGAAACTTGTTGACATCTGAAAAAAAAGGAAACTTTTTTCTTTGTGTCACAAAATAATGAAGCTTTAAATCTAAGTAATAATATATTATTATGCTAAAAAATTAAAACAAAAATTATTAACAACGTTAAGTAATTGATTACTTATACTAATTGTATACTACCATTGATTACTTATACTAATCAATGGTAGTATACTGATTTCTCTTTCCTTAATCTTGTTTTTCTAATACGGTAACATCATTCTATATAAGACAAGTCTGTTTACTGTTGGGAACATCTATGAGGTAGATGGATTATCACCATTTTCTCCTGTATGTTAACATTTACAAGGGATGTCATGGAATTCTTCCAGAGGAATTCCTGAGAGTGTGTACAAATGCCTGTCGATGGCCTCCCTCTCACACTGAAGACTGGGGCACCTACCTCATTACCTCCTTCCCACCAAGCTCCACCATGGTTCTGGGTGAAGCAGATGTCCACCGCAACATCCTGCCCTGCCATCGTCTCTCGATGCCCTGGCTACTCTCAATTCTGGTGCTGCCTGGCTGTGCTGTCCCTGAAAGAGTGGATCTGTACACCCAGATCTCGCAGGGCGTCCAGGGCGTCCCACCTTCCCAGCTTCCTCTCTCAAGTTACTCCCACTAAAGCTATTCTTTGATCTCAGAGGGGGCCTTTCGTCTCCCACCCTACTTTTATCCTATGTAACTCTCTCTTCCTCTGGTCTTCACTTCTGACCATTTTAGATTTTGTGTTCCATTATTTACTATTCTTATGTCAGAATCTTCAATGCTTTTGTTTCTTTTTCCTTTCCATTCACCTCCCTATCAAAACCCTAATTCCAGATCAACCACACTGTCCACTCTCCCACTGGTAACATTTGCGCGCTGAGTGCAGAGTATCACCACAGTTCAGACTTTTGTCTGAAGTTCATGGTTCATGGTTCTCCACCACGACTGAGCCCTCAACCTACAATCCTGTTTTCCTAGACAGTTCATTCTCCTGTTCCTGAAAACAGCTACTGGACTGAACCATTTGAAATTTTCTTTTCTCTTTTTTTAAAAATAAAGTCAAGAAGAGGTAAGTGTCAGCAATTTCACATGATTCAACCTAATACCCCATCTATATCTCTGGTCCTATCACCTCCTTTCTCCCTCACAACAGGTAAGTTGGCCTCCTACTTTACAGAGACGATATAAAATCATCAGACTCCAATTCTCACCATCAAACTACACACTCAGCTGCACACATACTTATCCTGCCCTCCTTCCTGTCTTTATAACAGGAGAAGTGGTCCTTCTCCTTCAGGGCCAATCTCTCCACTTCCATCTTCTCAGGGACTTCAATGATCAATAGGTCTCTCTCCTTCAACTGTAGGAGAAGCTTCACACTCTCCCCTCGAAATAGTCTCCTACTCAGTAAACATGTTTTAATCTCTCCACTTTAAAACAAAATTAAACAAACAGCTCTCCTTAATTCCCTGTTCCCCTCAGCTACTGCCCTATTTCTACCCTCTTCCTTTTATGGGGAATGAACTCCTAGGAGTTGTATAATCTGGCCTTTATGACAATCCCTCTCCTGAAACTGTTGTTCGTAAAACTATAAACAAGGATGGGCACGGTGGCTCATGCCGGTAATCCCAGCCCTTTGGGAGGCCGAGATGGGTGGATTGCCTGAAGTCAGGAGTTTGAGACTAGCCTGGCCAACATGGTGAAACACCCTCTCTACTACAAATACAAACACTGGCCAGGTGTGGTGGCAGGCGCCTTGAATCCCAGTTACTCAGGAGGCTGAAGCAGGAGAATCGCTTGAACCCGGGAGGCAGAGGTTGCAGTGAACCGAAATCACGCCACTGCACTCCAGCCTGGGCAATAGAGTGAGACTTTGTCTCAGAAAATAGATAAATAAATAAATAATAAAGGCATTTGTATCCTTCTCTTTCTTGGTATCTCAGTGGCACTTAGCACTGATGACCATTTTTTCCTTCTGAAAAATTAACTCCTTTCTTTACTTTTTCTTACACCATGCACTCTCAGCAGGGGTGATATCGCCCCCAGGAGACGAAAATTGGTTCTTAAGGGGCAAAAATATCTTTTTTTATGTAAGAAGAACATATATACATACAGTAGTATATCAATAGGTATACAGATATACAGTGTATCTGTGGTATTAAAATTTCAGGGGGGAAATTATTAGGAAAAGTGTGTCTCAAAACTCTCCTTAAGGTGTTAATAATTAAAGGTCAGAAACACCGCTATATCCACCATTCAACTTCAACAATGATCAATTTTTCCCTCTCCTTCTCCATTTTTATTGCCAACACTGTTGTTAAGAATATTTCAAAGCAAATACCAGATTTCTTATTCCATCTGCAATTAGTTCAGAATGTGTGTCCAATAAATAAAGACTTTTTAAAAAACCATGATCTGACAAAATTAATAATAATTCCTCAACATCATCTAATCCCCCTTTGTATTAAAATATTCCTGATGTTTACGAAAGTCCTTTCCAGTTGGTTTGGTCAATCAGGATCCCAAAAAAGGTTCATCCAGTGCATTTGGCCAAAGCCTTTTAATCTGTAATAGCTTGGGTCATATGTCCCATAGCACTTCCCCTTTTGATCTGACCTGGTGTTTAACCTACTCTCTATACTCCACATCCCCCCTAAATTTAGAAGGATCTAGAAATCCAATTCGGATTTGGGTATCTCAGCACACTTCAGTGATGGCCTGCATTTCTTACATTATCCCATCTCGGGCACTTACTGCCTGACTGCCCACTTCTAGCAACATTAGGGCTCATCAGAGGATCCAGCTTGACCTCTTCACCTCACGTTTTGGTGTTGGATTTGGAATGTTGGAATGATCCTTTTCATAGGCTGGCAAAACAATGGTTTTTTTTGAGACAGGGTTTTACTGTGTCACCCAGGCTACAGGGCAAGTGGCACAATCACGGCTCACTGCAGCCTGCTGAGCAGTTGGGACTACAGGTGCTCATCACCATGCCAGCTAGTTTTTGTATTTTTTCTAGAGATGGAGTTTTGCCATGTTGCCCAGGCTGGTCTAAAACTCCTGAGCTCAAGCGATCTGCCTGCCTCGGCCTCCCAAAGTGCTGGGATTACAGATGTGAGCCACAGTGCCCAGTTAGTTTTCTCCTTTTTTCTTTCTGGCTACTCCTGAATTCCTTTGCCCAGCCTCTCAGTACTGGTGCTCTTTTAGAGACTCTCACCTCTTCTCGTTCTCATTCCAGGGCCTGAACTGCCACGTGCTGATAGTTCCCAGATTTTACTCTCAAGCTCGGGTGCCTCTGCTGAGTGTCTGACCATGATCTGCCTGGTAGACAACTCACTAAGTCTGTGATTTGAAGATATTACCTGTCCCTTCAAACTCACGTCTATTCTCTGTTCCTTATCTAAGTGGAAGGTATCACCATAAACCTAGTTGTTTAAATCAGATTTCCGGGCCTGATTCATAACTCATTCTCTCTTGCTGATCCCAATTTATCACCAAGTTCTGCTGAGTCTCTTACACAGCTCTCCAATATGTTTATATGTTTCTAGCCCTACTGGCAGTATGTGCTTTAGGGCACCATCATCTTGGATTAACAAAACATCCTCCTAACAGAGCTCTCTGCCTCTTGAGGGAAATACATTCTACATGCCAGATCCTTCTAAAACACCTATATGATCACCTCACTTGGCTACACATATAATCCATCCACAGTGCCCCATTGCTCTTATAAGAAAGATCAAAACTCTTAATATGGCCTGTAAGAGTGTGGCTGCCTGGCCTCCACTTCCCCAACCTCATCCTTCATGGCTCCCTCAACTATAAAACAACATGAGCCACGCAGCTTCCCTCAGCCCGCAGGCTGCTCCCTCTGCTTGGAGTGTCTGCCTGTCTTTTGGGACTCAGCTTAAGCATCATTTTCTTTAGGACCTTCTTCCTCCAAACATCTAAACTAACCTGGATTCCTATTTCATGGATACCCACATGCCTTACCCCTCTCTGATCACCACCTATTTTACCTTATTCTGTAACCTCTAGGAAACTAAAGCTCCATGAGGGCCTGAATTGTACCTATCTTATTCATTGTCTTCAGTGCCCAGGGCACACAGTTGGCGACCAATATATATTGGTTAAATGAAAGAATGAATGTTAATATTAAAAAACCTTCAATACCACTCCTAGGACATCACACCATAACTTATGAAAGCAAACTTGGTACTTAAAGTACATACTAACTAACTTCTTAATGATTGACTCACCTCTATTTGTTGAATTCTCAAATTGGAAATTAAGTCCCAGCGAGCTGCTCCATTTTTGTCATACCCTCTGAAACCAAAGCCTGCAGCATTATTAATGGCATCAGCTATAGAAAACAAAATTCAAAAAAAAAAAAACTATTAAGAATCTCCACAACAATCTACCATATTCTCCCAGAAGGTATATGTTATTATATTTTATTCTTAAACAGTAAAAGTAGATTTATTCTAATTTTTAGGTCAGAAACATCATCACATACAATGAAAATAACACATCCAGGACAATTTGCTTAGTCAGTAATACATGACACATTATGCATGAGTTGGGGGCAGATGGAGTTTAAAAGCTGCTGAGGACCAGCAGGTAAAGGTGAAGACTCGAACAGGAAACGCTCCCCAACATTAGCTGTGCCAGTGGAACACAGCAGAGTATGCTCAACCAGCTGCCAAGAAGTTGCTAAGGGAATGTTTTTGCTCTGGGAGCACCATGTTCTTTTAAATCATATATTTGAAGTTTAGTATAAACAATAATATATAAGTGAGGCATAATATTTTCCTTCCATTTTCTTTCTTTCTTGGTTCACCAGAACCTACTCTGTGTATATGTCTCTAGAATTTTCAAAAAATAGAGACAGGGTCTCCCTCTGTCTCTCCCCAGGCTGCAGTGGCAGGATTATAGCTCACTACAGCCTTGAACTCTTGGGCTCAAGCAATCCTCCTGCCTCAATCCTCCTGCCTCAGCCTCCTGCCTCAATCCTCATGCCTCAATGATCCTCCCTCAGCCTCCTGCCTCAATCCTCCTGCCTCAATTTTCCTGCTTCAGTCTCCTGCCTCAATCCTCCTGCCTCAGTCTCCTGCCTCAGCCTCCTGCCTCAATCCTCCTGCCTCAGCCTCCTGCCTCAATCCTCCTGCCTCAGCCTCCTGCCTCAATTCTCCTGCCTCAATCCTCCTGCCTCGGCCTCCTGCCTCAGCCTCCCACCTCACTCCTCCCATCTCAGCCTCCCACATCAGCCTCCTGCCTCAATCCTCCTGCCTTGGCCTCCTACCTCAATCCTCCTGCCTCGGCCTCCTGCCTCGGCCTCCTGCCTCAATCCTCTTGCCTCAGCCTCCTGCCTCAATCCTCCTGCCTCAGCCTCCTGCCTCAATCCTCCTCCCTTGGCCTCCTGAGTAGCTGAGACTGCAGGTGCATATCATCATATCTAATTTTTTTTTTTTTTCTGTAGAGATGGGGGTCTCACTATGTTGCCAAGGCTGGTCTCGAACTCCTGGCCTCAAGTGATCTTCCCACTTTGGCCTCCCAAAGTGCTGGCATTTCAGGCATGAGCTACCGCACCCAACCCAGAATTTGTTTTCTAATCCTTTTCACCACAATGCTTGATTAGTCATTTTTGCTTTATGTACATGCTTGATTAAGCCGCAAAGAAAATTTCTGCCTCAAATAAGCCCTTTTCCAATCAACTGGAAAACTGTTTATGCTATTTGTATCATGACCAAAGAATAAACAAACAGAAATCCATCAAAGTCCAGCAAAATAATATGCCTATACAGACATGTATCCTTAAACTGTTTTATTCTTTATTAGTGCATTTTAGTACATCAAACAAGATCCTTTAAAAATTACACTTTGGGGAAAAGAATAAACAAGATTTACTCCTCTGTCAGGTTTAATGAGGTCAGCCACCTTTGTTCAGTTCACAGAAATACGAGCCTTAAAGGTAAGCCCCAGAATTACAAATAAAAATCCATTACCCACATGGGCAGCATACCCATATACATGGCTGCTGGGGAACTCCTTCCCTTCCTCATGGGTGCCTCCACTTCTGATTTGTTCATGTATTCATCCTCTCCATCTTTTTTAGCCCTACTGTGATCTAAGAGCAATGAAACTCCTAACCAACTTCACACTTGACAACAAGATTGGCCCAGGGTACGGTCAACAAAACGAGAAGAGAACCGGGGATGTCAAACTGCAGGAGTCCACCTTCCATGTTTCCCTGCCCCCCAGTCTCCTACCACAGACCCTGCCTCATCTTTACCTCAGGTAATGTAACCCCTGAGAGAGCTTCCAAGTTGTCATTATACAGAGAGATTCCAAATAACTGACCATTAACATCAATTTAAACTTTAATCTGTCCCTACATGGGCTAAATGTTTTTCAAACTTGAATTAAAGGGGGAAAAAACTGCTCAGATCCCAATACATCATTTTTTTGAGGAGTTAAGGAGAAAAGGGCAGGGCCACATGGCTGTGGAGATGAGAAGCCTGATTCCCATTTTGAGAACCCTGAATTAAAAGAATTAAATATAGTCTGCCTAGCCACTAGTATCCATGAAATTATAATTTGAAAAATGTCCATGTGGATACAAAAATTGGAAAGTAACTGTCCATATGATCCAGAATACATTCATACTATTTTATAAATTATTAACAAAATACAAAAAATTAAAGAATTTTGGAACTCTTGGATTTCCCAAAAAACAGATTTTTGGACCTCCAGAGATCATTAAACTCCAATTTTACAACCAAATGAACAATTTAAAAAAGGTAGTGGGGGTGGAGATGAACATGGGCATATGCATGCTGAGCCTCAGCTGGCGACTCCACTGACAGAGTCAAAACCTGAACCTCAGGGCTGAACCATTACCAGGGACTCAACCATTACTTGTGTTAAGACAGTACAGACATAGTATAAGTATTTATTGAATGGAATAACTTTACTGCCTTATAGCTAAAAATTCTTTAAATTCTTTAAATATAGTTCAATTTCAAATTGTCATTCATATATATTCTAATATGATTATTTCTTTAAGAAAGAATCAGGGAAAAGGAATTAACTCACCTTTGCTTTGGTTTGTAAATATGTAAAAATGCACAAGATTCATTTTTCAAACCAAATATTGGCGTTGGAAGATCAGAAGTACCCAAATAATCATTTTAATTGTCATAATTGCAAATAAAAAATTAATGATAATTTTTTTTTTCCTGAGGCAGGATCTCACTCTTACCCAGGCTGGAGTGTAATGGTGCGATCACAGCTCACTGCAGCCTCAACTTCCCTGGCTAAAGCAATACTCCCACCTCAGACTCTGAGTAGCTGGGACCACAGGCATGTAACACCACACCTGACTAATTTAAAAAAATTTTTTTGAAGAGATGGGGTCTCACCATGTTGCTCAGGCTGGTCTCAAACTCCTGCCTCAGCCTCCCAACATGCTGGGATTACAGGTGTGAGCCACTGTGCCCAGCCTAATGATAAATCTTGTATATTTTTACGTATTTACAGAGATCTTGTGATTTTTCTCAAAAGCCTTATAAATTCAATGCCCTTGTTCTATTGATAAGATTTTCAACAATTAGATGTCCAACCAAATCCAAAAACATGCAGAACTCTTATATTCTATAAATCTAGTGATTCAACCAATAGGTCACAATTCTTACACACCCCTAAAAGTACCAGGTTTGTTTGGGAAAGTTCTCAGTCTCAATTTAAAGTCAGAATTTAAGTAGTACAGGAATTTAATTTGGTATTATTGATGTCTAAATTTGGCTACAATAAAAATGTTCAATCCTTAAATCTTAGATTAAAATCCATAAAGTAACATTATATTTTAATTGGCCATTAACTCACCAGGTTAAAGCAACTTTTAATGATCCTACTGTACACAGCTATATGATGAAAGAAAGACTGAAAATAATGATTCCAGCCCCAAACTGTATTTCATTGTAATCAAAATAAAACCGACAGTAAAATGCTAATCCTCAGAGGCCTAATTATTGGCTGGTGTTTCTTCATGCATTCATTCAAATATTTGTTGAGTAACAAATATAAACAAGGCAAGCAGAACACAATCTTAAGAATAAAGGAGTTTATAATCTTGTGGGTGAGATAAAAAAAGGCAACACATATATAAAGGAGGTTTCAATTTATCCAATGAAGCATTCTCTCTACTTCAGTCCCACCTTCAAAACGTGGCCAGAATCATCTTCTTCTGCCACAGGATCAGGCTGTCAGCCTACCTGAAGCCTCTTGTGGCTCATTCAGCAGAGCAGGCAAGGTCCTGTGAAAGCCCGTTTCACCTGACCAGGTCCTTCCTTCCTACATGCCCCTGCTAACATCTGCCATGCAAAGCGAGGTACCTTCATCTCTCTTTGCTCTTGAGTGAAAAACTAGCCATTTTCCACTTCGTGAAATCACATTTAACCTTTTTGTTTTTGTTTTTGAGACTACCTAGGGGTTATTGCTCAACTCATACTAAAACCTCACTATGTTGCTCAGGCTGGAGTGCAGGGGTGCAATCATGGCTCATTACAGCCTCAAACTCCTAGGCTCAAGCGGTCCTCCCACCCCAGCCTCTCAAGTAGCTGGGAATACAGGCACATGCCACCAGGCCTAGTTGATTTTTAAAAATCTTTTTGTAGAGAGAGGGATCTCACTATGTTGCCCAGGCTGGTCTTGAACTCCTGGCCTCAAGTGATCCTCCCACCTTCAACTCCCAAAGTGCTGGGATTATAGACGTGAGCTACCATAACTGGCCCACATTCAATTAAAGGCACGATTGCATGTTATCTTTTCTCTAAAATTTGCTCTACCTGCCAAGCATAACTGATGACCCCCTATCAGTGTGCCAATATCATTTTATTCACTTTGCTGATAAACAGGTATCAAAATGGTAAGCTGAATACAATCATACTAAATTATAACCATCTGGAGGATGAGGACTATGTCTTATACATACTTGTATCTATCCTGGCTAGCACTGAATCTAGAATACAATAGGCATTTAACAAATATCTGTTGTCTTTTCATTGATCCATTTATTTTTATTTTGTATTGTAATAAAATTGATTCAGTTTTTGGAGTATCCTTACATAGGAGTTGTGAGGGCTGTTTTTTCTACACAGATGACTTAATTTTTCCAATTGGTCTTTATGTATCCTCAAGAGGGCGCACTGATAGCAATCTACCAACAAGGTAAGAAACGCTTCAACACACAGGGAAGTCTATTTACATGTTACTTACCTAGCGTCCATGCAAAATAGTATTTGGGTCTGGCAGCCAAAAGAGAGATATATAGATAGATAATCTTTGTTGGCCATGAAGCTGTAGCTTGAAAATGCTCATCGATGTTGTACTCCACAGGTAATGTTGTACAGATGGTCAAGTGAAATAACAAGGACAGCCCACAAATTAAGAGCTTCTGAATAACTGCAGTCTGAAAAGTGCAAGGCGAGACTTCATCAACTTTATCCATGCTCCTTTTAATTCATTCTATGTATTATTGACAGATTAACCTTCCTGAACGATCATCAGTCCTACAATTCTCCTGATCAAAATTCAAGAGCTACATTGCCCTTGGCATTTAAAGTCTTCCATAGTCTCATGGTATGAACTTTTCCAACTGTATCTGTAAGTACTACCTAGGGGTTATTGCTCAACTCATACTAAAACCTCCATTTTGTATTCAGAACTTTCAGGAAATAAAAAAAGTCTAAAAGCAAGCATAAGTGTATTGGTGTGAATGGAAGTGAATACAAAAGAAATTAACATTAATTACTTCTGGCAGTAAATTTTATACGGATATATATATTTTTTCCATTGCATCTTTTCTGTATTTTCCAAATTCTAGGCATCTCATGGATGTTATTTTTACAATAAACAATCTATACATCTCTGTAAATCTGAAAGTTAACACAACTTTGTTCAAGAATAATAAAAACCAAAAGAGCTATACACCTGAGAAGAATAAGAATTTGCATAAAATTGGTGAAAAGAAGACGCTTTTCTCAGCAATGCTGCGGTAAGGTCACATTACCAACTCATGGTGTTTTGTATTTTTACAACTCGTGCTGTTTTTATATTTGCAGAAGGCCAGAATATTTCAACTTCATTTGGTATGAAAGAGATTATATAGGCTATGAAGAAAAAGAAACAAGCAAAGAGAAGGCTGGATTCAGATGAAGTATGCAACAAAATACCTGGATTTAGAAATGCTCTATACAGTAACCAAACAGTACTCAAATTAACTGAAGTAATTTATCAATCAAGCTCCACATTTTAACACTTTATATAGTAGTGCCAAAAGAAAAGCTCCAAGGCAAGAGCCAAAGCATATGCCGGATGCACTGCACTTCTGAGAACAGTATTTTATTATTGGTTGCTCCTGCAAGGTGGAACTCAGTGTTCAAGGACTCCTTGCAGCAGTAGTTATTCTCATTTTCCATTGTCTTTTATCCCTTTCTTTAATAAAATAAGGCTACTCTTTCTTCAATGCCTCCCAAATATCTTACCTATACATTTGAATTATGAGATTTTAAAATGGAAGAGAAAAAAATTGTAATTATAAATGAAGCAAGATGAAATAAATGGCCCCATACTTTAATTTTAAAATGAGGCATATCATTTTAGTAATGTAATAGGAAGTACTGTGGCCACAAGACTATATGGTTCTGAAGCAGGGCAGGGATATGGTGCTGCAATGAAAATGTAGAGAATACCAAGACAGCCTGTATCCTGAGAGGTGACATCCTCAGCCCCCTTTCCCTGCCTAGACCCAGAGTCCCAGCAGTCAAGTTTGTATGCCCCAGGCAGACTGGAGAATCCTTCACTCAAAAAACCAAACAGCCCCAGAGAAATGGCTACAGACATCATGACAGAGACTGTCAAGTGTTACCCAGGAGCCCTCCTCCCCTTCCTGCACAGAAAAGGAAGTTTCTCTTGGGTGCTTAGAAGTCTAGCTAAAGATGACACATCATAGCCTTTGGTGCACCTGAGTGTGGCTTATGATTAGGTTCTGGCCAACAGGATGCGAGCAAAAGTAGTATGCACAGGGAAGATGGAGCTTCGATCTCTAACACCTTGGGGCCCCAATATTATCAATGCACTGCTTACAGGTGAGCTGTCCCACATGTAACATAAAAACAAATTTCCACCTTGTTTAATTCCTGTTATTTTGGTCCTTGTTTCAGCAGCCAAACCCATATCCTAACTGATGCAGATAGAGGAGAGGACAGTGGAGAGGCCCCCGACAGAAGAGCCAGTGGGCTCCATGAGCAGCCTCCTTAGGATCCTGAGCATCTATGCACTCCACTAATGCACAAGGAGCTTCCAAATGCCCCTTGAGGGACTTATGACTAACTACCACTATTTGACTTTCTAAAGTATATGCATGTGAAATTTAAATAAAATATATTATTAAAATGGTGGGAAAATACATTAAGAATATTTGCCATTATCAACAACCTCTGATTTAGGATGTCTCTAACCCAAAAGAGGAAAGTGACATTTTAAGAGAGTAAAACCCATAAAAACTCAGTGAAGTGACAGAATATATACCTTTGTATTATTCTTTGTCAAGTTTGTTTTACTACTATCACATGTTTATAACATTGGATATTTTCAAGTATTTTACAAAATCATTTGATCTTCATACAGTCTCTAAAATGGGGAATACATTAAGATTCTCCTTTTGCAGACAAGGACTCATACACATTAAGTGATGTGCCGAAATGATGAGCCAAACTGGCCACTGACAGTCCAGCATCTTGATTCCTAGGTTTTTCTTCTCCTTCTAGCATTCCCAAATAAACTTCTAAGAAGCTGTCTACAACTGTCTTTACCTTCTCTTACAGAAGGGAGACCGCTAAAAGATTGAGTGGTCATCCTGGAGATACAAAACAGTCAATGAACAGACATCAACTTCAAGTCTGGAATCCCACTCAGTTTGATATGACATTTCTCAACACTTAACCAGTAATAGAAAATATGGAGACTAAAACACCTTTTTGGTATAAAATACAATGAGCCACATGGTAGGAAAGAGATAATATACTATCTTTTGCGAGTGCATGTACATTTCTACATTCACTCTTTGTTGCCCACACGGTGGAGGGTGGTAGATTTGCAGGAGAAAGAAGGTGACCCCTTGCTCTAAGCCCTACGTTCAGAGAAAACACACTAGCCCCTTTCCTTCATCTCACAGACTTCCTGATTGGCCTATTCTTTTTCATGGAAACTATACATTTTACCAGATGAAATCTAACAGAAACTTAGCCTATACAGAGCCTCACTGCCTTTCTTTACGAAGCAGCATCCCAGCAATTTCAAGTGCCCCAATGGCTTAAAGAAAGTAAAAATTATGTTTGGTTGTAAGGCAACTTAGCATAGACTTGAAACCAGATTGCACTGGTGTGAATTCCAGTTCTACTGCCAACCTGGGAAATCTTGGTCAAATCACTTAGCCTATGAGTCTCAGTTTCCTTATCTGTTAGAGGGTGAGAAAAACAGCACCTACCTTGTATGAATGCTGTGAGGGCTGAAAGAGTAACTACGTGTGAGGTCCACACCACAGTGCCTGGCACATGGTGAGCACTGTCAAAGCGTTAGTTACTATTAATATCTTTATAATATTACTAATCTCTTCATTGTGGGAATCAGGAGCTGTTTTGTGGAAAAAGGTGATATTTGAAGTAGGCTTTTAAAGAAAAGAAAGATTTCAACTGGCAATAATTAAGAAGAGGAGAGGAAAAGCAAAAAAGAAATGGAGGATACAGAGTGTTTACAATCTGCTGGAACACAAGGCATAGGTAAGAAAGAAATAAGAAAGAAAAGGAAGGCAAGCGGGAAGCAGGAAGCGGGAAGGGGGAAGGAGGAAGGGGGGAAGGGGAAAGGGGGAAGGGGGAAGGGGAAAGGGGGCCTGGAAAATTATTAGGCTGGTCAATTCCATGATAAGAGCTTTCTTGTAAAATCCCCTGTAACTATAAAGCATTATTCTCATTGAGGAATTCAGCACATAGTTTCTGAAGTGACCTTATTTGTGTTCTTAATCATGACTATACTTCTACTAGGTACGGTGTGAAGAGTCATTTATCTTGAAAAGTATTTTTAAAGAAACAGATGGATAAGTTCCCAATGTGAAAGTATTTGTATTTTTAAATAAGACTAACCAATACATGCTATAAAGGCTCCAGATAGGCCGGGCGCGGTGGCTCAAGCCTGTAATCCCAGCACTTTGGGAGGCCAAGACGGGCGGATCACGAGGTCAGGAGATTGAGACCATCCTGGCTAACCCGGTGAAACCCCGTCTCTACTAAAAAATACAAAAAACTAGCCGGGCGAGGTGGTGGGCGCCTGTAGTCCCAGCTACTCGGGAGGCTGAGGCAGGAGAATGGTGTAAACCCGGGAGGCGGAGCTTGCAGTGAGCTGAGATCCGGCCACTGCACTTCAGCCTGGGCGACAGAGCGAGACTCTGTCTCAAAAAATAAATAAATAAATAAAGGCTTCAGATAAATCTCATGACCTTACATTTGGAGATGGCTCTGTTCTTTCATACTGTGTCTCTTCTTTTCCATTTTCACCAGATTGTGTCATATGGTAAGATCTGCCTTCAATGAAAGTAATGTAGTCTTTGTAAGAGCAAAGTGGGCCTGCCAGGATCCCCATGAAGTTACAGTTGTAACTCAAATACTCCAGTAGGCTTGGCATGCGCCTGCAATGAAAAGACATGCAACCAGTGAGATGCAGCATAAGCTTCAGAACATTTGATAGAATAACAATCCACCTCACTGCTCTCCATTTCCAAAATAAGACAAGCTTTCATTTTCATTTGTACGCATACAATAGGAATTTTAAGGATCAGGACACAGTCATGCTCAAAAGTACGTCTGAATAAGAGTTTCTACACAGATCCTTATGAGCAAATATGAAGGTTTCGATTTAGATTTCTCATGATGAGACAAATCAAAGATGGATGCACTATCCACACTGCTGTCTCCTCCTAGGCAATCATTTGCTCTTCTAACAAACACGTGCTGCGCACTGTGTGCCCCACCTGCTGCAGGGCCTGGATACGTCAGTAAACAAAGAGAGGACGATCCTGCATCCACAGAGCTTGCATACCGGGTGCAGAAAACAATAATAAAATACGTAAAACATATTTTCAGAGGTGCTAAGTGCTACAAAAAGAAGGAACTCTTTTATTCTATTAAGAAGTCAGAAAAGGCCTCTCTGGTAAGGTGACAGTTGAGCAGAGACCAGGAAGAAGTGAGAGGAGCTGTGTGGATGTTGGTGACAGGGCTTCCAGGCAGAGGGAATGATGCGTGAAGACCCCTGAGCTGGGCATAGCTGGCAGCAAGGCAGCCGTGGGGCTGGAGCAAAGTGGACCCAGGGGAAGAGGTGGTAGCAGGCAAGACAGCTGAGGTGGGATCAGACAGGGCCTGCCTTACAAGCCATGGCAGGAACTTCAGATTTTACTCTGACCGAAATGAAAAAACACAGTAAGTGTTTAAAAGACCTATGTCTCAATGCATCACTCCAGCCCATGTGTGGGGCTCCTGCAGTCTCCAGGCAGAAAGTGACAATGGCTGGAGGAGGGGGCAGATGCTCTGCATGCATCCTGGCAGTGGAGCCTGAAGTCTGCAGAGGGATTGGCTGTGAGGTGGAGGAGAAAAGGGAGTCAAAGACTTCTAAAAACATTTTTAATTCCGCTCCTTAGAGGTCTGTCCAAATGATACATGGTACCTATGGGTAACACGGTGAAAATGGGTAGTTAACACAGGAGACTATTTAGACTATTTATATTATATAAATGAATAAGGAGTGTATTTTTTTTTAAACAGCTCCATTAAGAAAGTCTACCATCCACTGTCAATTATAAACCATCACAAAGAAAGCACAACTGCACCTGGGGACAGCAGGCAGGCTTCTTGAACATGTTACAGTCCCTTCTCCTCTCTGAATATGATAAGCTGCCTCCTTAAAAAATACAAACACTCTTGTGGACAAGAGAGGTTGAGAGAATACCCTCATAAACAGTTTTTTAAAGAGCTAAGTCTTGTTATGTTGCCCAGGCTGGACTCAAAAGTCCTGAGCTCAAGTAATCCTTCTGCCTTGGCCTCCTGGGTAGCTGGGATGACAGACACACACCACCTTGCCTAGCTTAGCATATATTATTTTTCTCTGAGAAATTAAATAGAACAAAATAGTGATTCCTGTTCATCTGATACTATCTGGGTTACCACTCAGCCCAAACTGTTTTTCTAACTTTTTCAGAATTATTTTTCCACTTTTAAAAATGGCTTGAACCTTAAGTATTTTCTTGTTAGGGTCTGAAATTGATGACAGAAAATGTTTCTGCCAGATTTTCTCTTTTAGTTCTTTCTACTTAATGATGAAACAGCATGCTTTCTCACTGTATCAAAGACCAGGGTAAGTACCCTGCAGTCACATGGTTATAAAAGAACTCCTTGTACTCCAGCAGCAGAGCTCCATTCTCAATACCAATTATTTTAACACCAAGTCAAACTATGTATCACCATTAGCAAGGACAGGAGATAGTTCTAAACCATGAAACTTACTTAAGTAATTTTTGGCTCAACTGTCATATCAAACAACAAGTCATTTTAGGTACCGAAGTAAATAACTATATTTATTTATAAAATGAGAACTTAAGTCTAATTGTAGTGTATAATATCAAACAAAAGATTCATTCATTCATTCCACTGATATTTGGTATCAACTATGTGTTGCCTCAAGTTTGGGCATCTCATCTGCAGAATTATTGACACTTTGGACCCATAATTCTCTGTTGTGGGGTCCTCGTGTGCGGTGTAGGGTGTTTAGCAGCACCCCCTAGGTGCTACCCACCAGATGCCAGTAGCACCACCTCCCTCAGCAGTAACAACCAAAAATGTCTAGACATTGTCAGCTGACTCTTGGAGGCAAAATCACTCCAAATAATGATCACGGTTTGGATGATGGGGACAATAAATGAGACAAAGTTCCTGTCCTCAATGACAGGGGCAAGGGGGAAGGACAAATAAAACAAATGTCTTGTATAACATCAGACAGTAATACCTACTATGAAGAAAACAAAGCAGAGTAAAGGGATAGAAAGTGATGGCATGAAGGGAGGGTATTTGTGACAGAGTGGTCTGCACAGTTAAGAATGGACTGAGTGAGGAAGCGGGGTCGAACTCTGGGCTCTTGCTGGGCCTTATATGCTGTGGTCGGGGGTTTGTAATTCTATTCTAAATTACAGTGGAAGCCACTGGAGGATTTTCATCAGGAGACAGGAATAATATAATCCAATGCACATTAAAAGCTTCTCTGGCTGCTAGCTGAAAAGTAGGCTGCACAGGGCATGGGAGAAAATAGGGAAGCCAGGAAGGAAAGCTACCACAGCAGACCAAGTAGAAAATGAGGGTTTGTACTGGGATGTGACCAGTGGAAGCGGTGAAAATCAGTCAGATTAGAGATTAATTTTAAAGGAAGGGCTAACTTGACTTGCTGGTGAAGTGGATTTGCTGTAAGAAAATGGAAGTCCCCCCAGGCCACCAGTGATAATGGTACTGCTATTAACTAACTGGGTGATAATGGTGGAGGAACAGATGTGGGAGGAGGAAGGAAGAGGGAGACAAATCAGAAGTTCTGTTTTGAACATGTTCTGTTTGAGCTGCCTGTCACTATCCATGGAAGACCTTAAAATGGCAGTTGGATAAATGAGGCTGGAGCCGAGGGGAGTGGATTGGGCGGGAATATAAATTTAGGAGACTTCAAACATGAAGATGGCCTTTAAAGCCAACGGATGTGACCACCTGGAGAAAACAGAGAAGTCCAGGGCTGAGCCCAGGCTAGTGGTAAGGCAGAAGCAGGGGCAGAGGATTCAGCAGAAGAAACAGAGACAAAGAGCCAGTGAAGGAGGAGAAAAACTGAAAGAAGAGAATGTCCTGGAAGGAAGTGAGGAAGGTATTTCAGAAGAGTGGCCAACTGGCCAGTGCTGCTGAGGTTCAGCATCACGCAAACAAGCTGACAATGAAATCGGCCAAGATTAAGGGCAATCTTGAAAGAATGATTTCAGACCAAGAATGGGCACAAAAACTTGAATGCAGGGGGCTGAGGAGAGAATGGGGGGAGATACTGAATGTCCACAAAGCCTTCAAGAAGTGCTCCTCTAAAGGAGTGTGCAGTAACGGGGTGATGGCCAGAAGGGAATGAGAGGTGTCATGAGCTTGTTCTGTTCAGGTGTGGGGATGGCCCAACAGAGAGGGAGAAATCGGTGAGCAAACAGGCAGGAGTAACTGACGCAGCAAAATCCTTGAGAAGGAAGTGAACTCTGTGCAGCAGTGAGAAGCTGGCCTTCGATTAGATTATGCACAGCTAGTACCTGACACCAGGAAAGAAAGTAGAGCACTGTGTTATAGATTCAGGCAGCATGGTAGATTTGGTGGTTGCAGAATCAAAGCAGGATTGCTTTTTTTCTCTCCAAAAAACAAAATTTTGCTACCAACACAAGTATGGGGGACGGCGTGTTAGAAGTCTGGCAGGAAGGAGAATATATCATCTTAGAAGAGTGTGGGCAAGTGAGTGGACCGAGGAAATGCAGAACCACTGGCAATACTAAGGATCCTAGTTTTAAATTTGGGGTAATAAATTTAAAATGAGTCCAGTGCGCAAGACAGTGTTTTTCCACTCAGCTTTCTTCCACTGTTCAGGTAGGTGAGAGGTGCAGTTACCTAGGTCTGGGGATTTGCTCTCGGTGTGAGATGCATAGGGGAAATGGCAGCTGAGTGTCTGTAAATGAGTAGCTACTGGGGTGGCGCAAGGGCTCCTAAAGATCAAAGAACCAAGACCAAATTAACCTCTCATCAGGAAAGCTACTCAAGTGTCTATTTATCGATACATAAAGATTGACTATAGGGGCTATCAGAATAGAACATTTTTAAAGATGGGAAAATACAAAAAGACCCCCAAGACATGCTACCTGGGATGAAAGATGAATACTTAGTTTAGTTCTAAATAATATCACAAACAATCTCATTCTTCTAGCAGCTATGCACTTATTCGTTCTAGTTTTGGAAACAAGGTAATCCATGGGAAACTTTTCTGTAAGTATAATGAGTATTCCATCTCAAATTATATTAGTTGAGATAGACCCTGTGAAATTAAGCCATTCCTTAGATTTGTCATCAGAGTGCCTTCCGTAAATGAAGTAGAAGCCTATCCCAGAATGAATTCCTCAAATAATAATGAGAATTATTTGACTAGTTCTTTATGATTTCAAAATATGGCATTGATATGCTATATTAATGTATTATATCTTAGCCCAGTACTTGCCATCAAGTTATTGGCCTGTAAATGGTAGATGCTATTACTACCGGTAATTACTACATGGCAGATATGAAGACAATACCATCCTCCTGTCTTCAAGGAACTCAGAGTCTCACAGGAACGAAAACTTTAGCAGCTAACCTTGTGGCCCATAGGAGGTGCACATGTACAATCACAGAGGCAGGGTGCTACAGGAGCCAGAAGGGATGCCCAGCCCCGCCCAGCAGGCTTTGGCAGGAGGGAGGTGCATGGAGGGAGTGAGGCTTGATTTTCAGAAGTAAGTACCTCTAGAAGACCTAATCAGCCTCAGTCACAGAAGGAACGTGGGTCCTAGGCAGGGGTGCAGGAAGCATGGCAGAATAGGATGCAAAGGCACGTACCTTACAGCTAAATCCCTCTGTGAGGAAGTCAGTTCTTCATCCTTCCGAAACATCCCTGAGAAACAAAAATAGGTACTCTTCTTACCAATTAAGATTTCTCCCCAAAATGGCATTTTTGCCCATGCACACTTTCATTACTTTCCTCATTTGAAATTCATGCTATTATATTCCCAATTTTGATATAATGACTGTTCTTTTCCTTCTCATGGCAACACAGGCTCGATCATGTGAAAAGTCTCTATAAAATAACACATGGTTGGGTATCTAACTCCACTCTAAAGGGAGTCATAATTAAATAATTCCCAAATGCTGGCACTTTTTAAATTATAATGTTATTATCCTTAATTCTAAATGCTATGACTTTTCAAAAACGGGCATTACAATTTTTCTATTATTGAATGACTTAAATGACTACACATGAGTACTATAAACTAGAAGCTCAACATAAAGCAAGGAGCAATTTCCTTACTCCTCCACGACTCCAATACATGAAAACCAAACTCAAATACATTATTTTCTTTCATCTATTTACCTTTCTTTTCAAAGAGGAGGATATATTATTTAAGATTACACATCAACTTACTAGATCCATATGCTTTAAAAATATATACCTCAAATCCAATTTAAAGACCAAAGGGAAATGAAATTAAAAAGCAAATAGCAACATTAATATTAATAAATTAATATAAGTAAAGTAGTAACATTCCCCCAAAGAACCAAAGCTAAAGCAATTTAAAAAACAGTGAAATAAATAGACAAACCTAAAAACATGAAAAGACAAATCGTAGAAGAAATACATGTAGCCAACTAACATGAAATGTTAATTTCACGATTAATAACATTATCATTATAAATCATTAAATGTACATTAAAAGAGCAAGATGCCATTTTCACCTATTATAAGTATGCAGAAATCTTAAAGGGCTCTTACTCATATAATATAATCTAAATTATGTAAAACACACATTTTATGTATTTTATATGTATATAAAACAAAGATGAGAAGACAATAATTACTGCCTTAAAATGCCTCAGGAACTATTCTATGCACTGAGGAAAGAGCAGAGGAAAAACAAACTCCCTGGTTTTATAGCACTTATATTCTAGTATGGAGACAGAAGATAAACAAATAAATGAGGTACCAAGAGGAACTCACAACATCTTTCTGTAAACCAGTATAGCAAACACTTTAGAAATCTTTCTACTCTTTATTCCTAAAACTCTAGCCCTAAGGAAATAACTGAAGGTGCGATTCAAAATTTATGACAAGGATCATCACAACTTTACACATAATAGTTGAAAAAAAAGTAACAGCCTATATATGCAACAATTGGGGAAAGGGAATATATTACATATTCCACTTTTGACAATTATGTAAAAAGAAAACTATACCTCATAAGATGATAAAGGAAATATTAATAAAAAAGAAGGGGCCAGGCGCAGAGTGGCTCATACCTGTAATACCCGTACTTTGGGAGGCCAAGGTGGGTGGATCACCTGAGGTCAGGAGTTTGAGACCAGCCTGGCCAACATGGTAAAACCTTGTCTTTACTAAAGAAAAAAAAAAAAATTAGTTGGGTGTGGCAGCGGGCGCCTATAATCCCAACTACTCAGGAGGCTGAGGCAGGAGAATCACTTGAATCTGGGAAGTGGAGGTTTCAGCGAGCCAACACTCTGCCTCAAAAGAAAGAAAGAAAAGAAAGAAAAGAAAGAAAGAAAGAAAGAAAGAAAGAAAGAAAGAAAGAAAGAAAGAAAGAAAGAAAGAAAGAAAGAAAGAAAGAAAGAAAAAAAAGTCTGGCTCTGAGAAATGTCGTGGGAGGGACATGGAAGATTATTTTTCTTCATATTTCCAATTTGTATTTTTCAAATTTTCCTCAATGATCACATACCTACTTTTTATAAGCAGGAGGAAAAAAAATACTTAAAAAAAAGATGATAGAAGATGAGAAAATGGTAAAACATTATCAGGATTTAAATCCCCAAAAAGGATAATTCCTACTTGTGACAATTCTTCTTTCTTCCCCCATATCAGATATATGCTGTCCACCCTTTCCTTAAAAAAAAAAAAAAAAAAAAAAGCCCTCTTTAGAAATGAGGATAAGTATTCAATTTTTAAAAACTTCTTATCCTTTTTTCCTCATGCTTTTACCAGGCAAGTGACATGTTAATAGCCTTTGTGATTTCAAGCTTTGCCATACATAAACTGTGTTGTTATGTTTAGTCAGCATTTCCAAGTGTTTGGCATAGGGTGGGCCTCCACACCAGTTCAGTCTGCCATGTTACTCAAAGAAGCAATTACTGCTTTCGAAGTGTAAACTAGCCAAGAAAAGTGGACACAGAGCTTAAAGGACAGAGTTTCATAGAACAAACTTGTGTCAAAAGTCTACATGCACAACAAGCCCAGCCTCCCTTCTCAGTTCACAACTTGGGAACTTGCCCAAAGAATCACCAAAAACCAATTAAAGACAAGATACCATTTTTTAAAGCTGGAAGTCTAACCAAGTACAAGTGAGGCGCTCCAGCAAACAATGGAGTATGAGAAGACTTCTGAGCCCCAGTGCGACACCACATTGCAGGCGGAGACGGAAAGCCTGCCACTGCTGCTGTGTCTAACAGCTGATACGGGTGGTCCAGTGATTCTACCGTGCTGCTTAGTTCCCCTGAACACACCACTTTTTCACTGAATTAATGGAATGGCGTATCTTCCACTGTTTAGTACTTACGTATGAATAGGTATAAGAAAATGATTGCTTATCATTTTCATGTAAATTCAGAGTCAGGAATCATGGTGATGCCAAACAACTACTGATTATCTACATGGGTGGCTGAGATAGTGGTACCTTTGGTTTCTGATGGTTCAGTATACACACATTTTGTTTTATGCACAAAATTATTAAAAATAATGTATAAATTACCTTCAGTCTATGTGTATAAGGTATATTTAAAACATCAATTAATTGTGTTTAGACTTGGGTCCCAAGATATCTCACTATATGTATGCAAATATTCCAAAATCCGAATAAATCCAAAATCAGAAACACTTCTGTTCTCAAGCATTTCATATAAGAGATATTCAACCTGTACAAGCATTCCGTTAGGTTGAAGTACTTCTACCGTGAGGTGACATCAATGACGCCACCAGCAAGACAACCAGCTACACTATCCCTACAGGCCACAACATAAGCCAGACTTCATGAGCAAACATGCCAGCAGGTTATTTTAGTCATTCATCCTAAGCCCTCAGCAATCTCATATACACGATTCAAAGCCAGAAGGGTAAGTAGGCTCTATTATATGAGGGTGATGAAATGTCTTAAAAACCATGCCTAGAAATACCCAAGGATAAAATAACACCTGCTTCCTGAAGATACAAATATGAATGATGACAGTGGATGGATAGTTGAGAAACAGACACAGTTGTAGGTAATTTATTTGGTTTCATCTAGGAGTGGTCCAGAACCAGGCTGTGCAGAAACAAATTAACACAGTTCTGAGACTGCTATCCTTAGAAAGGCCTGCTTATAAGGTGTGCCCATGGCTGCCGCGCGAGAACTTGGCTGGTTCACAGTCCCCTACACCAATAGGAAATGTCCCCTATGCCTAGCCTATTTGTGCTAATGATGTGGTTTATTCTGAACACCTGCTTTCCTTCTAGGAGCCTGGAATTTTGGTGTGTGCTAGGGGGCCTATGTGACCAGCCCCCAATAAAAGCTTTGGGTGCTGAGTGTCTAAAGAGCTTGCCTGATAGACACTTCACAGGTGTTGTCACAATTTGTTGCTGGGGGAATTAAGTACGTTCTCTGTGACTCCCTTGGGAGAGGACTTCTGGAAACCTGTGCCTGGTTTCTTCCAGACTTCATTACAGGCACCTGTGTACTTTACTGACTTTGCTTGGAATCTTTTCGCTGTAATAAATGTTAGTCATGAATTCAACTACATGCTAAGTCCTGTGAATCACCAAACTGGGAGTGGTCTTGGGGTCCCCCGATACACAGATAATAAGGCCCTTCTCTGAAAGACTAGCTGATAAAATATGGGTTAGACAGGGTTCAATCTATCCCCTGGGAATAAAGGGGTTGGTGGTATGGGGTGTGGAAGACCTGCAGCAGACTATCTCGGAGGATGTCTGAAGCAAACTGGAAGAGGAACCCAGTTTGAAAAGTTAAAGTGTATGAACTCCTCTAACACTGCTAAGACTAATCAAAATCTAAACTGTTCTAAAGAGATAATTACCATTAAATCCATTTAAAAGAACAGGTCACAAAATGAGGTTTGTTGTTCTTCTGAGTTGAATATATATTGTCATCAGATACTTCTAGACCTATAGACAAAATCATATCCCTGATCCACAAATTTCCTATATTCTCTTTCCAGTGTCACAGGAGTAATCTGTTACTAGCATACTACAGAAGTTTCAGCACCTGAAGGTAACTGTAGGCTTTTACCTATAGTGTTTCCTAGTATAAGTTTTATAACTACAGTCTAGTATCAGAGTCTGGTGAGTTTCAACCACTTCATTGATCAGGATGCAAGAACTACAAGACACTATGCATAAATTATAATCCACAAAAAAACCCTCCAAGCTGAATCATACTGTTAATTGACAAAGGAGAAAACTGAAGCAGTAAGAAGCTGAACTGGAATCTGAGCGTATGCTTGCCTATCCATCAAAACCCACACTCTAGCCACATCCTCATGTTCCCTCCTGTATGCAGAATTTTCCCTCAGTGGTGTTTCTTTCTCTGAAGGGCAGAAAGAGAGTTGCTGTTTAACCTGCAGACTTGATTAAACAAGTAGCAGAGATTTTTTAATCTACCTCCTTCCCTCCACCACCCCCCCAAAAAAACTAAGCGCTAATTTTTCTTGTTAGTAGCCAGAGGGAAGAAGAGGAAAAATTCTCTCTCTCTCTCTCTCGCTCGCTCTTCACAGTACTGTCAAGGCTGGTCCTCTGACAATAAGAGGGAAAACCTGCGTGGGGAGTGGGCACAGGATGGGTGGAGACACAGTGGGGCTCAAACTCATCTCAAAAGCTCCCCATGCTACATACAAATGGCCGTTCTAACAGGGATGCTTGGCTTTTTCAGTCTTTGAAGGAATCATAACCCAAATCTCATGACTCGGAGTCCTGTTAGGCCAGGACTAGATGTCCACTCACTGAAGACAGAAATTATTCATAATAAAAATACATGGAAACATGTAATTATGAATGTGTGTATATAAAGGAGAAGAGGTGGGGAAAACACATAAATTATAATAAAAATTTAACGAAGAGCTGAAGCAGGAAATAATAAAACTTGATCTAGACCAAACGTCTCTTTCCTTTATATGTCAAATTATCACTACTGTGGGCCACATGACTAAATCACACTATTCTACTTCCTGTCACTGCACTGAATTAAAAATGAAGATAAAACACTGAAGGAAAGCAAGCATTTTTCATAACCCTAAGCACAGTTAAGTATATTTCCCTATCTTACCTCCCTCCATTTCCTTACTCTAATAGCAGAAAGTTATGGTAATAGCTCAAGCAAAATATTATTGGAATTAAATTTTTTCAGCAATAAAAATTAATTTCAGAATTCTTACCATCATGAATTTCGCAAGCCAAACTAGTGATCTTCTGAGTAATGATCATCATTGGGCTGTGACAAGATAAAAAAAATTAGTGTTTTAAAAGAAGAAAGTTAAAACAATACTTATGACATATGAGTTAAGAGTTTGTTCTGCTTTTATCACTACAAAGCCTGAAATTTTTAACATAAAAAAGACCTCCAAGGGATTTCAGCAATAACTCAGGAGTTATGTATTTGAGGACAGCATAGGAGATGGGGATCTGGGCTTTCTCCAAGGCTTCAAAAAAAAGAAAAGAAAAAGGCTCCACCCCTAAAAGAAAGTCTCTGGTGACCCAGTGATCTAACCTGGCCTCCTCATCTCACACATTAGAAAACAAGGCCCGGAGATTTTGAGAAGTGCGCAGGCATGAGATGTGGCCCCAGTCTCCTGCTTTCGGCTCAGTACTTTCTTCAATAAATCATGGACAGACTCTCAACTCCCTATTCTAAAAACTAGGCACCCAGGGGTTACGGACTCTACACACAGCCATCTAAGGAACCAAAATCATGATGTATTTGAAAGGAAAAATGACTTTAAAATCATTTTAAAAATGGCATTATTCTCCCATACTTTATAGTCATTATAATTGAATGAGTAACTTGGAAAGGAAAAAAATATATCCACATAAGAAAACCACTAGGATGCATCTTATCCTTTAAGGATTACATTAGCTTACAGACAGTGTTAAAAAAAACAGTTAAGGCTGGGCGTGGTGGCTCATGCCTATAATCCCAGCACTTTGGGAGGCTGAGGTGGGAGAATTGCTTGAACCCAGCAGTCTGAGACCACCCTGGTCAACAGAGCAAGACCCCATCTCTATAAAAAAAAAAAAAAAAAAAAAAAAAACCACCAGGAAGGCTTTTATCCTTTAACTATTACATTAGCTTACAGACTGTATTGAAGAACAGTTGACAAGAAGTTATTTAAGTTTTTGAAACAATCATATAATAAAAGCAGGAAATTGTGTTTTGACCCAAGGTAGACTGTGCTCTATACATGCAGAGGAGAACATGTTTCACAGAACCTGAGGACACTGTGGCCACACAGCGTCACCCCATGCACCACCAACGAAAGGGGCCAGGAGGGGAGGGGGGTCCAGGCTCCAGGCTTAGACCCCCGTGGGTCTAGTTCTGACCCGCTCTCTTCCAGCAGCCCACACCGCTCAGCGCAGAAACTCAAACTGCTGCCTCTGGCAAACAGAGGTGTCTTTCTCACAACATCAGCAAACGGCAGCAAGGGTTTGCTTTAAACATTCCTACCGCTGGAACTTTGATTCACAGACCTGGGCCCTTGAGAAGCTACAGCTCATTCTCCTCAACTAACAGGAAGGTCTTATCAATGACAAATGTTCTTAAACTGGAAGTACTTAAGGGAGGAGACTTCTCTCAGGTTCCCTTAAAAGTCAGTTCTTACATTTACATACTCACTTCTCAGGGAATCATGCTTCAACCAACCTAAATCCCCCAGGTGGCTTGGAACACCCGATTGCTATTTCTGCTTTGCAAGATACCCAGGAGGGGGCCTTGCCCAGCCTGGAGGCCACGAGGATGAGAAGCAATGTGTGCCCGGGAGGTCACGTGGGCACCACAGACAGAAGTGGAGCCGGGGGACAGATGTCATGTCCTGGGATGCAAACCAAGTGGTGAGCAGAGAGCAGCCTGAAAGAGAAGGGGGGCTGCCCCGAGCGGCTTGGGTGGCCGGGCGTGTGGGAGACCTTGGGTTTGCTGTCAGGAGGGACAATGAACACAGGCGCCTCCGTCTCCACTTCATGTCCGTCCCCACAGACGTCCTCACAAGAGCTTTATCATTTTCAAGCCCTTGAAAATGATAAAAATGCCCTATAATTTCCATTTCCCTGGGGGAGAGAATCATTTTTCTCATTCTGCCTAATTCTTTCCATAGTTTAGCTCACTGGTGAGTTACAACATTCTCTTCAGAATTTCCATGTCACCTTAAAACATAGTAATAACTGATAAAACAACTATTACATTTATTTTGTCAATTCAGTGACACAGTAAGCTGTCAGGTATACACAGACAAGATGTTAACAAAAATGTAAATAAGTGCTCTGAGGGTCCTTCTTGTGCCCACTTGGGCCCCTGAACCCAAATGCAACTTTTATTCCATCAGGTGCAAAGAACACAGAAGCTCCTGTGAAAGTAAGCTGTGTTGGGAGGACAGGTGATGTATGGCTGGGAGGACAGGTAAGGTGTGGCTGGGAGGATGGGTGACGTGTGGCTGGGAGGACAGGTGACGTGTAGCTGTACTACTGATTCCAAGAATCATGCCCTAACAGAGCGGGAAGGAAGGCAGGAAACAGACCTGAATACTCCAGCCTCTCTCCAAATGCTACTCCCTCCACCCAGACTACTCTTCCTGGAACCACAAGGATAAGTTATTCCTCCCTCTTCACGAATCAGCTGAAGAATCACTCCGCACACGAAGCCCACCGGACAACTCGACCTCAAGCAGCTTCCCTCTACCCACAAAAACACACACACATGCACGCAAATACCCTTCATTTCATCTTAGTCCTTGGTTGTTTCCTTCAAGTTGTTTTAACATTCATAGTTGTTTTCTTTATTAAATCTCAGCGGTTGTTTTAAAATCTCTCCCTTGTTTAGAAAGCCCATGAGGCAAGGAACCTAACAGTCCTGTTCGCCACTGAATCTCCAGCATGTAGCACAGTGTCTGGCACAAAATATGTGCTAAGTAAATTTTTTAAAAAATTTCTTCAGGGTCTTCCTCTGTCACCCAGGCTGGAGTGCAGAGGTGCAATCTCAGCTGACTGAAGCCTCGATCTTCTGGGCTCCTCCCATCTCAGCCTCCCAAGCAGCTGACACTACAGGCACGTGCCACCACACATGGATAATTTTTAAATTTTTTGTAGACATGGGGTTTTGCCATGTTTCCCAGGCTGGTCTCAAACTCCTGGGCTCAAGCGATCCACCCGTCTCAGCCTCTCAAAATACTGAAATTACAGGTGTGAGCCACCATGCCTGGCCAATAAATACATTTAAAATATAAAATAAACTGAATCTAAGTGTCCAGTCAAGATCTATTACTCCTTCTGTAGGTTAATTATACTCTCTCCCATTTGTTCTCTCTTATCTGTGCTTGAAAGCATTTATTATATATTGTAATGATTCATTTATTTTCCTATTACTACAAAAAACCCATGAGCTACTTAACAGTTAGGAACACTGCTTTAATTATTTCTGTGCCTTCAGTACCTGGCACCTAATACACTGTCAGTGTGCTGGCGGGTTTATAGAAATGCCTCATCAAGTTTTGGTTTCATTTCCTGATGGTCATTAGCTCCATACATGCCCTTTGTTTTAAGAGGATGGCAGTCCCAATGCCTCTGGTCCAACCCGTCAGCCGGGGTGTAGCACATGGAGAAACAGAAAGACAGAAGACAAAATTATCGTAGGGAGCTATGCAGGAGTATGTTGAAGGATTATAGGAAAAGTTCAGTAAGGGATGAGCAGATTAAAGAGAGCTCAGAAATGCAAACTGGAGGCCAAAACAGACAGATGAGTCCAACGCAGCAGGTACACGGCTGGGAGACAAGAAAGACTGATGGGAAAGGACACACCTCACCCTTCCGCAGCAGGAATGACTGTGCAGGAAGCATTTACAACTGAAAACAGTGCAATGGTGCACAGGGCGTAACTGCAGTGGGCTTTCTTAACAGCATATTTTGTTCATAAACATCTGTTTCAGGACAATTAGGGTGATTCACACAACTATTTCACTTACATCTTTACTGACACTTTAACTATTAAATATCTGTTGACTTTGTATTAATGGAGCCTTAGTATCTAACCACTTCCTGGGCCCTAGGAAAGTCTGGGATACCTCGACATGAATTGGAAAGAACCTCCTGTTTCCCTAGTATGGAAACTGGAACCTGGAGAAGGTAGGGGAAGCAGAAGGCTTTGGAACTTCCAGAGTGAGGTCAGGGCCTCAGGATGGAGCTTCCCTTTCCTTCTATAGGACAACATCAGTATATTTAAGTGGCATTACTGAAATTTCCTTCCAATGATCCTCTGCTAAGAATGTGGGAAAATATGAAATGTAACTGTTCATAGTAACACTTCAACTGGTGTAACAGTTTCAGCTAATATTAAAAAATTCAGCTGAGGTAAAAACTCTAGACTTCCTGAAATAAAACAAAGGATGAAAAAGTTAAAAAATATATTCACACACTTTTTTTCTCTACAAAGAACAAGAATAGTAGGATTTGGTTCTATTACACAGTAAAACTCAAATGTAGTTAAACATTACAAGAGAATGAATGCTAAAAATGAACAATTACTTTCATGATTGTTCCATTATCTCTGGGAGACCACTAAGCTTAAGGGAAGTCTGTATATTAATGCTACAAATCAACTAAAAGCATCCACTAGGTGACAGCTTGCCACCAGGACATGTGTTACCCAGCAACAGAGGCAAACTGTTAACTGTTCACCTCAGTTATCCTAAGTGTACAAGTACTCTGGCATCCAAACAAAATCCACTGACACCAAGTAACCCCACTTACCTAACACCAAATGAATACAAAGTGAGAGATAATGGAAAAGGCCATTCGTCTTAGTCATCCATTCATTCATTTTCTTACAGCTTCATTCAGAAAAAACAAGTACTTACTTAATGAGCACCTACGATTCACCAAGTACTGTTCTATGTGCCAAAGACACAGTGTGAACAAGACTGGCCAAGTCCTCGCTGTTATGAAATTTATACTGCACTGGAGACAGACAGATTATAAACAGATAAACAGGTAAAGATACAGTGTGTCAGATGCTGCAAGTCCTGGGCAGTGAAATGAAGCAGAGTAAGGGGCCTAAGGAATACGGAACAAAGCTGGGAACCGGCCTCACCCAGAAGACGACAGTGAAATAGAGGACAAGCTCTGTGGAGGCCTGGGGTAAAAATGTTCCAGGAAGAGAGAAAAGTAAGTTCAACAGCCCCAGGAAGAAGTGTGACTGGCATGTTTGAGGATCAGTACAGAGGCCAATGTGAC